GCTTGGTTCTACAATCGATGCCAATGGAAGCAGCAGTCAGGACATTAGACGACGTGTAGCATTGGGAAAGTCAACCATGAAAGAACTGTTTCTGGTGCTGAGGAGCAAGGATGTCTCCTTGGGGACTAAGGTGCGCCTCACACAAGCCATGATATTTCCAATCGCCTTGTCTGCATGTGAGAGCTGGACAATGAATAAGGAAGACCAAAGAATTGTTGATGCTTTTGAGTTGTGGTGCTGGCAAAGAATGCTGAAAGTACCATGGACTGCTAAAAGAACTAACAGATCTGTCCTGGAGGAAGTGCACCGGAAATGCTCCTTGGAAGCAAGAATGGCCAGACTTCATCTCACCTATTTTGGTCATGTTGTCAGAAAAGACCATTCCCTGGAGAAGGATATCATGCTTGGTAGGGTGGAGGGTCGACGAAACATGGGGAGGCCTTCAACGAGATGGATTGACACAGTGGCTGTGATGGTGGGCTCGTATAGCAGGGATCGTGGAGCTGGCGCGGGATTGGGCAGTGTTTCATTCTGCTGTGCATGGGGTCGCTATGAGTTGGAAATGACTCAACTGCACCTAACAACAATAACAACAATAACCAAAAGATTGTGAACTTCCTAAAGAGGGGCTATATCTAAAGCAGTGGCTATATCTCATTTATCTTTGTTTCCTTTATATTCAGCACAGTGCCTGGTTCATCTCATATGTGCTTAATTAAATGGCTGAATGAATGAATTCTGTATCTTTTTAACCTAAAGTGTTACATGGTAGCAGTGTTAGAAATTTGGTATATTTTGATACAAATCAGCATTCAACAATTTTTTTTCTAAGTTAAATGTGCTTCTCTGTATCACATAAAGAGGCAGTGGTTTTTTGTTTTGCTTTGCTTTTCTGTATTTTCTAGAAATTATTTTGTGTCTTTCCTTTGTCTCAAATCTTTAGGCAGAGGTACGGATCTAAACGGATAACTAACCAAAACTTTTTTTCAATGTCTGCCTACATAGGTGGAAGCTCTGGTGGCATAGTGCCTAAGGCATTTGACTGTTAACCAGAGGCTGGAGGTTCAAACCCACCAGCTACTCCTCGGAAGGAAGGTTGGGCAATCTACCTCCGTAGAGATACTGCCTCAGAAACCTAAGGAGGGGTTGCTATGAGTCAGAATTGAGTCCACGACAGTGAGTTTGGAGTTTTGGTTTTATTGATTACTTACCGTGTAAGTAAGTCAGTCCACAGCCTACAATCTTAACCTCAGTACCCTTTAAAAAGGAGAGAGGAAGT